TTAGGTATGAATTATACTGTTAATGGCAGAACCCTTTGGAACATTAACGTACAGACGGATCTGGGCGTGCAGGTCCACAGTTCCCTAAAAGTGGCAACACAGGTGGCCAAAGTGATTAAGAAGGCATATGGCACGCTTGCCTTCATCACCTGGGGCATGGAGTACAAGATTTGGCAAAACATATCGCAGCTATATAAAACCCTTGTTAGGCTGCATTTGGAGTACAGTGCGCAGTTTTGGTCACCACATGACCAGAAGGACGTGGAAGCTTTGGAGAGAGTGCAGAGAAGGTTCGCCAGGATGTTGCCCAGTCTCGAGGACATTGGCTATGAGGAAAGGTTAAAAAGACTAGGATTGTTTTCACTGGAAAGATGGCGACTGACAGGAGACCTGACAGAGGGTCTACAAAACTATGAGTGGCATAGATAAGGTGGATAGTGAGAGGCTTTTTCCCAGGGTTGAAGTTTCAAATGCAAGGGGGTACAGGTTCAAAGTGAGAGTGCAAAAGTTTAAAGGAGATGTGCGAGGGAAGTTTTTCATGCAGAAAGTGGCAGGAGCCTGGAATGCACTGCCAGAGGAGGTGGTGGAAGTGGGCACATTGGCGGCATTTAAGATGCATCTGGATGGTTACCTGCATAGGGAGGGAATAGAGGGACACGGATTGGTAAGGACAGAAGATTTGTTTTTTAGTTTAGTCAGTGCATGATGCTCAGCACAGGCTTGAAGGGCCGAAGGGCCTGTTCCTGTGCTGTACTTCTCTTTTGTTCTCTTTTGTTGTTTTGAATGATGAATAATGACCTTGAGTTTCCCAAATTGCATTGAATTCTGCTGATAGGGTTGTGCTCAAACTCACAGCAACATATCATTGAAATAGTGGGACCGTGGAGATTGTACATTGGTGGGAATTATTTATTACTTTTCTTTGCAACCTTCTTGTTCACTGTTTTTTGACGTTAGTTCTGATTTCTCTGTCAGCCTTGAAGTAAATCTACTGATCAGAAAACACCTCTCAAATGCCGACACATCAGAACCCCTTCTACAGCAATGCAATGTCTCAAACAACTTTATAGCATGGATTCCCATTGTGCAATAAGATGTTAACAGGAAGCCGGATTGTCACGAGAACAGCTATGAGCAGTTTCTGAATATACTTAAATATATGTTGAGAGAAGCCAGACACCAATAATGCTCTCAAATTTGATATATTTGTGCTTTTGACATATTGAGCTTTTATATTTGTACAGTGGGTATATCAGAATTAAAAGACTGGATGCAATTTATTCAGTCAGGTATGTGTAACTAATGGGAATGATCAGGAAAAATAACTCTGTATGCAGACTTATCCTTTATTAAACAGGGCCATTGGGATCGATAAGCTCTGTATAACTGCTGGAGTGTGGGGTTCTAGCAGAAACTGGCATTAGCTACAGAAATGGAACATCCAGTACTCTATCAGATATAACGTATTTGCTATGTTGCCTTTGTAACCACTGGAGTTCCCAGTCAGCCAGTCTATACATTGTTCATGTTGCAAATCAGTGCTAACTGCTCTCTAATCTTGGAGTGCTGTAAAACTATTCCCATATGTGTAAAGTTATCATATTTCTGTTACATTGCAGCAGTCCAAAGCTGGAATAACCTCGGTCTCTGCTCTTCCTATGATGAGCTTTATTTGTCCATTAAGAGATAACAAGGTGTAGATCTGGATGAACACAGCAGGCCAAGCAGCATCAGAGGAGCAGGAAAGCTGACATTTCAGGCCTAGACCCTTCTTCAGAAA